CCGAAAAGGGTTGAGGCAACGCTGTGTCCTACGTGAGCTCGACTGCCATCTGTCTTAAGCTAGCTAAAATTTGTTTATCTTTTCTTTTACACACAGTACTGAAATAATTTAGTACGATAGTTTATAAAATTTAATTTTGAGAATCTTTCCTTACTTATAATTTACACTAATATATTTTATTTCGAAAATTTTTGGTCTTTAAATAAATGCTACACAATGAACCAACTTTGAAGTATGAGTTCATGTTGGGAATACATTATTATACATTTCTAATTTTCATTTGTTAAATAAGCAAGTGGAGACGAAATTGTTCAAGTAACTGAATCGAAAGTAAAACGAGACTCGCAAAGTAATATATTCAAATGTACATTATGCAAACGTGGCGTAGTAACCATAAAAATAAAGATATTTTTCTTAGAAGACATCGAAATGTTTCGCAGGAACTGGACGCCCATAAATTTATCATTTTCCACTGCATAAAGCATAAATTCGAATCATTGGTCCTTCCTTAGGAGGGCTCTGTTGTTCACTTACTGTTATTATTAAAAAGTTGTTATTTATTTACGATTTTTCTTCTTAAACCTAACAAAAGTCCAGTTTTAAAAATATTATATATATAGAAAAAATATATACGCTTTGGAACGCGAGTTTAAATCTGCCAATAAGAGTATCAAATAAAAAACAATACTAAGCTTCTTTCAAAGTTATGTTTTCGCAAGGAATAATGCAGGAACTTCCCCCAGCTCTTCCCACTTCTAGACGGTTATTGGTTTCTTAGAAATATATGAAAGAAATATTGAATAGGTCCATATAACAATAGCATAGCCTCAAGGCACTCACACTTGTCACCCACATGGGTCCGAGGGTTGAATCTACATAAAAATATCCATATTTTAAATCTGATTTGTGAAAACTTGGCGAACAAATGTTTGCTATTGAAAATTGAATAGGGTTGTGACGTGAGAGAAATGCAATGCGTCTTATTTCAGTATTGGTCAATATCAAAATAAACTGGAAAATGAAACCTGGAAATATGTTGTACATGAAAAGCAATTCTGTGAACTACGAATATAATATGTATTATCAAAATATCGTTGGTTTTAATACATAAAATAGATGGACCGCTGGTTGAGTTCATGTGACACACATACATCGGGTCCACTGAGTAAATAGTCATGTTGAATAACCGTTAATAATTTTAGATTGAAGACAGACATCGCTCGAGGCGCTTTCAATTGCCAGCGGAAAACTTTGTTACAGTACACACATATACATATACATATGTACGTCAGATGGCCGCAGACCAATTTCTCCTTGCGGACTCCTAGATCCGTATTATCTACAACTATATATATTCTGCAATAAATGTTTTTTGTGTTATCTTTTATATAATATATGTTATGGATGATGATTTCAGATAATGAGATCTAAGATTTTCGCGAGTACTCATTTTAATGAAACTAATAATTTCGGATTTTACTTCGCGTTTCATTTAAATGATGATTTTAGGTTTCTCGTTTAAATAAACCCCTAATTGAAATTAAAAAATAATTCTTTAGTTAAATATATGGTAACATAAACTTATGTTTCCTCCGTGTTACATCAAGTACAGTGCAAGAATTACATTAGTGTTTTCACAGCTATTTTCTAGAGAAGATCTTAACAATCGGTTTCAATAACCACACAAAATGAAACCGTAAGCATGAAATTAAGTTCAGACTTTGCCAAAGCATTTCCAAGTCTGCACCACATGTATGTACTTTGAAGCGTGTCGCAAATTCCTAGCAATCCTTTAAAATCAGCGAACCGATTCAGCTAGCTCGGAGTGACCGCGTCCTGATTCCATTAATTCCCTCTCCCTCCCCTTCCTCCTTACAACCCGCTGGGAAAAGTGAAGCCTGATTAGAAGCTAGATAGAAGTTGCATATACAACGAATATAGTATACGTAGTATTTTATAAATTGCTCATAAAAAATTCTATTAAATTTTGTTCAAACCGAAAATAACAGACTTATAAAGTAAAAAAAACACATCTTATTCATAAATATTTAAATTGTTTAAAAGGAAAATACCACTTTAAATAATAATAACATGAATTCAAATATAGAGCCGGTTTCTAGATAAGCCTGAAGTCGGTGGAGGAAATTTTAAGACGATGTAAGCATTCCTGGTAAGACCTCTACATAGCTTCAAAATATCTGCAACGTTTGCATCTTAAGAATGTTATAATCGGGATTTTCGTTGGTCAGTTTGGCTAACATACTTTTCATAAATATAGTTTTAGAATGAATGAAGAAATAAAGTGGAATATATAGTAATTTAATTCTCGTAATAAGTTCTAACAATCCTCGTCGTTGGGAAGATATTACCGACCAGTTTATCACAAAAGCGATCTTCAATAATCCGTATTATATAGCTATAGATAATTTATTAGATCAATATTGGTAAGGTCTAGCCAAGTGGAGATATAATGGTTATCGCTCGACGTTTAATTACCTACTCGATGTTAGACAATGGTTAATAAGAAACCATGGCTCAGCACTATTCAATGATTTATTGCATATTATTTGCAACCTCCATGAATGAGATAACTTTCGAAGGGGTTAAATTTGCATTTATTGTTATAAACTATACAAATTTATCAATAAATATGATCGTATTATGCTAACAGGTTTCTTTCGTAAACAGTACACATCAAAGATATAATGAATATTCAAAGAGTTAGTCCGCGGTATTATTCTCAAACTATCATGTCCGTACACCTCGCCCTTGTAATTGATTGAAATTTATTCACAGCAACAATTTAGACAGACATAGTGAAATTGCAAACGTTAAACTATCTTACCGATACTGGGAGGAACTAGCATCTAAATAATATATTAAATTACGTAGTGATTTATAGCAGAAAAAAAATATTTGAAATTTTTTGTCATACTTATTTAATTAAGAAGAAAAAATATCCTTTTAAACATAATGTACATCTTTAAATTTAATGTGTCGAAATCAATTATTCCTACCGTTTTTTTATTATGGTTATAGCTAGCTTGTAAAGTAAATAAAATATCTATCAATAATTCATTTCCAAATTCACCTCTGTCTGAAGACGTAGATGAAAGCCCCCTAAATAATTGATTAGCTTTTCTAAGACCGGACTGAAGTCGGATCTTGAAAGGCAAATTATATTCAAATGGGAACAAGCCTTAACATTTTGTTCGACACGATGGGTAACATGGATTGTGAGATTGATTTATTGATGTTGTAGCTCTATTACTATTACAGACAGACAAATTGATTTAAAATAATTTATTTTTAAGACAAATAAATAAAGATAATTGAGAATTATATTATCTGTCACATACATTATTTATAATCCGTGTAATAAAAACATTACTATGAATTAAACCCTATAGTAATATAATTTTTTCTTCTTTTTATACTAGAACTTATTTTAAGTCGGTTTCTATGTATAATAACATGTGTTATCGATGTGATAAAAGATTGTTGACGCTTCACCATTCGATGTTAGCAGCTGATGCGGCGTCGTCCAAGTTTCTTATCTTACCTCAACTAAACTCTTAAGAGAACGTTGCACTCCTCACGTTATAGGGGAACAGATAACGACTCATAAATACATACGAATAAATCTCGACGAGAAACGGATGAGTAATATGTTATTTGACGTGTTTTATATATGTAACTAAAATAATTTTTATAATTTTAGCTCACGCATTGCGCTACTTACAATTTACTTTGATTAATCATTATTAAGTGGAATAAAGGAAACTTTATTGTGAGACCAAGACTTTCTTTCTTGTGCTAATTCTGAATTAATCTTAGAGTCTATTAAAATATAAGATGGATTTATTATTTTATTATTATTATATTATTTCAATCGTTTACTATTTGTACAAATCTTGATAAATACCCCTTTAAAAAACTTATGAACTATCTGTTCTATAGACATAAATCAGGTGTTCAGTATGATTTACAGCATTGACTACGAACGGTGATAAATTACAGTGAAACTTTTGTGTCGTAATTCATTTCTGATCGCCCGCGCCCGCCATACGTTGTTTACCGCGATCATTCGACGATAATGCTCAGCGACATTCCTTGATACCATGTACACTTTACTATTCGCCGATAAGCCCACATAGATATAAAGAAAGAATTCTGCCTCTAAATATAAATGGCAATAAGAAATTTCGTATGAAATAGTTTTTATATGGCAATAGAATATTTGTTTTCGTCACTGCTTAGAAATGAACATGAGCTTTGTTTGTTTTGAACATTGGAGAGAAACGCTACCCTCGTATTATGTTTGGCTATTAGCAAATTTTGATCGCTAAAGTTGACCCCGGCCGGAGTTCATCGATCCGCCGCGACTTTCACCCGGATCATAAACTGAGCCACCTACTTTCAAAACTGGAAAAAAAAAACTGTTCCCGACTCACTTCAAAACTAAGTCTTCCTAATCACGCGGCGCGAACAAACTTCGCTAAAGTTTTTTCCAAGTCGAGTTAAACTTCATCGATGTGGAGATCATTCACCTTGGTAGGGACTTGCATACGACGTTCTTGGAGCCATTGAAACAAAATGTAGAGCAAGGTTGGCTCAGATTACATTCATAAAGAAGTTTTTGAAGATCGATACGGAAGTTAAACTTATTACTAGCTTCTGCGCGACAACGCTCGTAAAGCAAAACTTTGTAATGCGAGCCTTTGTCGAATATTTGATATCATGGCTGTTTAATTAGACGTCTCTGTATCCGATTGCTAGGTATATACCTACATAGAAAGGTTGGCTTCATTACACGGACGTCTCGCAAAGAACCTTTATTTACTTTACATATCAGCGCCCGTAACTAACGAGCGCGGATACCTGCTCGGCATTCGTATTCACAAAAGGTTTTCTCCTACCAACGACGGGCGTGAAATAGGAGGCGAGCCTGGAAGGAGGTTTAAAGGAGAAAATAAAATAAAGACGGCGCCAGGGAACGGATGCGAGGTCCGCGAAAAAAGTACAAGGAAAGCAGGCTTAATGGTGTGGCGCAGGTGAACAGGGCGGGGTCGGCTGGGTGGTTCGCTGGGATTGGTCGGCGCCGCCCAGCCGTGAGCACGCCTTCACCCTCTCACCCCCCGGGAGGATCCCCTCACCCCCTCGCCCTCCACCCGCGGCCACCGGCTATCGCCAGGCGACCACCTACCAGCCACCCGACACAAGCTATGCCTGTGTCGTGAATTAGTTTGCCAACTTTCTGTCTATGGCGGAGGCTTCAGAGATGTAAGTATGGTCGACGGGCTGAATAATCGATAAAGGTGTTTATTGAAAACGGGTAAGGACGAAGCTTTTATTGCTTCTTTATTATTAAAACGGTTGAAATATAGTTCTAGATCTGATAAACCTACACGAACTGGAATACACTTTTAAGATTAAATCTCATGTCTATTTCGTTCAGATGAAGATATATGTACATTTTTATACAATAATGAAAATATGGAAGCGAATTTGCGGAAAGAAAAGGTAATCTTCATTCCGCTGTACGTTAAGTTGCCCATGCAATATCTTCGCGATGCAAATTCCATGAGTTTAACTTAACGCTTTTGAGATTTGATGACATTTTTCAGTATATTTAAACATTGACTAGTGTTAGTCGCAAAAGAATTGTAGCCAAAAAATGTTATTTCATTGACATATCGGCTTTTATAAGAATCTGTGGATGACGTATGACAAGAACGTTTAAGAAATAAAATTAATAATTTCACTCACATATATAAAAACGTGCATTGAAAAAATAATATCTATTACCATTTCTTTATATACTTGTTTATAAGCAAATATATTTTATATAAAATATACTAATTGCTTTATATAAAATTAAAATAATATTCAACAACATATTAATTGAAATAATCATTTTGATAATATTTTTCTAGGTACCTAATAATAATTGCACCAGTAATTTTGAATTAAATATAAAGTTCAGTCTATACCTTTATTTAGTTAACTATGAAAGCTGGAGCAATAATAATTGCTGGAGTATTTCTTTTATGATAAGAAATAATTTATTTTGATAAATAGATATTTCCACTGAACACTGTTTTTATTTATCATGTAAATAATAATCTAATGATTATAATGTTTGTACATATAATTATAAATGTATGCATATATTTTTAGATATTACTCATTTAGATTGTACGGCTCTACGAAGAAATATTGCAGTAGTTCCATGAATCTATCCTTGAATTCATATCAGCTTTATGTTAATTCCTTCTCTCCATACTGTATTATGGAGACTCGAGCTTTATGTGACCAAAAACCAGTTCCAGAAAATTTAGTTACGACATCGTTAAATGTAAGATTAAGAAATTTGTCATATTCAGCTTTTCATTAAACAAAAATTAAATATATCGCTGCCTTTTATTATTTTATCCTTCAGAAGTTAGTTATTTAATATATGCAAATAATAATTTGTGAAATAATAATTTTGTCTTTGGAGACAAATATATTTTCATTAAAATTCAATTAATATATATTTTCAGATCCATCCTTAATTTATATTTTCAGATCCAACAACTGGAAAAATATTAATATTTTATAATACTTATATTTTATTTACATTGGATATTTTATAATTTATATACCAATTATATTTTGTATTCTGGGTTGTTTAGTGCAGCATTATCGCAATTTTACGTAAAGCTAGTTGAAGATAAGAATTTTTTTCAATATACATGATATCTGTCTCAAATATATTATTATATAAATTTTTTACGATAGCTGAACAAAATTGGCAAGTCGAAATGGTAATTTTTTAACAAGCTTATCTTATGTACATATATAAACTTTATAGTTTACAATACATAAATAGTATTTATAATTTTAACTGTTAAAGATAATAAACAAAAACATTGCTTAAGTCTCCTTTAGCAGTAATGATAAACAATACCTTTATCTGAATTAAGAGAATAAAACGCACGTAACTTGACAGCTATCGTATCAGTTCCGAATCGAAATGAATAGCAACACTCCGCTTTCACGGACACTCGGAAAAGAGCAAAAATTGTTTAAAACAAAGAAAAAAAAAGCGGCATATCCCCGACCATTGTTCGCTGGCACAATGCCTTTACGACACGAGGTAAATAACGTTTGGAAAATTAAAAAAAAAGCACTCTGTTGTGGGCTGCGAGTAAACACGTCACGGTTCCCTTATTGAGTTGATCTGGCCATTTGAACGCCGCCCTTTGAAAAAAGAAGGCACCGATTCAATTCTCGATATCCATTTTTGACGTTCCATGATTAGAACTCAGTTTGATCGTTAGGTGGACGTGAGGGGATGTTTAGTTTGATTTTTGCTATTGATTCAAAGTGTGAAACGTACGACAGACGGACTTGTTAGGTAGATTTCAATGATACATTGTTTGTGACAGCGACAATCTCATATTGTTTTATCTATTTATGTTCATGACTTCTCCATGTTAATCTCTTTGAAAATAGCACTTAACGAGATTAGTTTTGAAAAAAAGGAAACATATGTATTATAAACATATCTATATATTTTATGAGTGTATAGCCATATTTCCATTAAGTACGTTAGTAGGCTTTTGATAGGACTGCAAAAGAAATATGTTTACCAAGAATAGAAGTATCGTACCGTTAATTATAATAGCGACTTAGTTTGAAAATTACGTTAAGTATATTAGATTTGTTTTATAATATTTTTAATTATAGAAAACCATAAAGACGTTTACAGTAAATTACTCTTTTCATTTTATTATTTATAGCAATTTATGCTTTTCTGTTGCTGCTTTTTTATTAATTATTATTGAAACTTCTAATAAATATTATCCTTGAAGGCTTGATAAATCGGTTCTAGTTTAATTGTATTGAATTAATTATTACTATGGCTCTTACTTACGAACGAAATTATCTCTCTATTGTTTTGGAAGTTCCGCGTAATAATAAATATATCATAGTTATCCTCTTGGGGCGAATTGAAGGGAAATAAAATGATGGTCCCGGAAGGGTAGCGAAAGAAAAGCGATTAATATTAACTTGAAATTGTTATAGCCCCTTAAAGATGACTTAATTTTTATAACTGAAGACATAACTGACTTGTAGTATTATCAAGTAATTTTGTCATTTTATTAAATCTTGTATGTCGATAATTATATTATTTATTTGTTAACAATAGTACATTTATTGTTACTCACTTCCACTAAGTGCTCTTAAAAAATATGTAATCCTCATTTATTTAAAATTATTAAATATGAAGCTAAAAATATTCAAGCTTTATAAAAACATGACGAAGAGTAAACTAATTTGTGAATTCACGGTACATTCTTTAATCAAACAGTTCATTAATAGTGAAAGCAAAAAGAGGCATTTAATCCACATTGCGGGCGAGATGATCCCCTTAACGAGCGCAGTGTACCGACTGTATTCTTACATTAAAATGTAAACATTACCCCTTTGCAGCCCTTGTAGGAGCGAATCGTAATTTGTCTGCGACAATGTGCCCCACAGACTTACGTTTTAGGTGAGAAATAAACGCTTCGATACAATTTTTTTTATAGTTTTACTTCACCTAAATAAAGAGAGTTATTTATACATTCTAAATCGTAGTTTAAAATAGGTTATTAAATTTCCTGTTCTATCTAATGTAACATTATATTTGAAATAACAATTAATATTGTAATAAAAATTATAAGGTTTCCTTTTATATATTATTCTTTATTCTTTCTTTTAAAATATTTAACAATACGAATTAATTCGAAAAAAAAATTACTATTACATGATTGCAACCCATGAAAGAAATATATTGTTTAACATTTATTTATTGTCTACGAATGATTTTGGAAGTGATGTTATCGGATGTGCCGCTTGTCTGAAGGGCCCGGAGTGTCTCATCTAAGTGTCAAGTACCCGGGAGCGGTCATCTCTGTCGAGATCACTCCCTTGGGTGTCCTAGACCCCGGCAACCTGGATTTATTCCATTTGAATACCATCGTGCGAACAGTACCTCTGCGCCGCAGACTTTATTGCTTAAGATGTTTTTAGCTTTGATTACATCCGCGAATATTACATTAGGAAGTTAAAATTTATTGTGTTAATAATATTTTAGTGTAAAACCAGGTTTAAATGTAAACACTTATTGTTAATTTTCATATGGCGAAGTCCTTCACAACAACTATTGTGCCAATTCTAATTCTACGACGAAGCTCGTTAGCTTGTAAACGATCTTTCACACGTCTAGACTAAATTTGAAATAAAAACTTATTAAATACGTTTTACTTTTATTTTAAGAATTACTTTTATTTCTTTTCATTTGAAGTTTTAATATGTTGTTACTTCTTTAAGAATATTGTAGAAAAAAATATTTTCATGTGTCACATATTTGTAGTCGACTATGAATCATAATAAACTTTATACGATATATTTTTTTTATTAACAGCTAAGAGCTATGAAATAATATATTTATAAAGTACATACCATACATTGTGATGTCTAAAAACTTGTCCCATTTTAATGAATGCTTCCCCAATTAAAAATCCTGTATCAGAGTTACGTAATAGGTACCTAAATCAAAATTACGAAGTTAAGCGGAGCGGTTTCTTAATACCGACGACTGTGAAGACGGTCGAATTCTTTAATTATTTAGCTCTAATGGCAGTCTGTCCTTTGACGTCGCCTTCGTTTTAATTTGAGATTCCGCCCTCAAATTAAAAATATAATGAGGCTCACTGTGCCACTGTTAATTGGAAACCGATACTGTCTAACACATTTCGCGTTCACGACAAGTTCTTAACTTTTTTTTTTATGTACAAAATTGGTATTTTCCTATGTAAAAGTACCTATCCATTTGTATTGAAGACAAATGTCAAATATTCATGGGTCGCGAAAAATAAAGAAGTGTAATAGATTCAGAACAATATCCATCAGGGTGACGTTGGGTGCACGGGGTTAGTTGCTGTTATACAGTATGTTCAAATAATATAAATTTGAAATATTTTTCCAAAGTATGTAAATATAAAAATTTATATACAAGTGTTCATGATCCTCACAAAATAATTTGTAGTTGATTATAATCCTAACCTATTAACAAGACAGGGATAATTACCTTGATTGTAAATATTTAATTTAAAATATGTCAATTGGATACACTACTGAGCTATAATTTTAGCTTGTAAATACTAGCTTATTAAATATGATATTTAGTCATATGACATTTTTATACATATTCGATATGTGTGTCACGAAGAGCGATTATACACAAGAGATCAGAAATAACAACACCCTGTTTAACTAAGGTTAGATGATGCAATATTTTGCTCACCTTTGGGGTCTCCGCATTATGCATAACTGATAAGGCCGATTTTGTATGCATGCGATCCTTAGCCTCCATCGTAATGACATACACCGCCCATGGGAAACAGTTTTTGTTGTGTTTCGTCTCATGACAATAAATTCTAGTTAATAATGTGACATTTAGCCTTAATTAGAATTAAAAATATTAAATTTAAACCAAGTAATCATGATGAAACTAATATTTTCGGATTTACTACGCGATTTTAATTATAAACTACATACTCCCGACGTTACAATTACTTACAGCAACCGAAATCACGGGCAGACGAGATGATGACGAGATGACTGATTTATGTTTCATAAAACAAACACTTCATAAATATTCCATTTTTAATCACATACGCTCAATGTTAAACCTAACATTATTTATTATTATAAAGAAACTGGTAGCTTCAAATTACATAAACCCTGCATTTAATATTCTCGTAACAAAAAGGTTCTATACCAATTCCTAACATATGCCAATCAAAGCTCACCCGCCGGATATTCAATTCCTGGACATGTCCGAACTGACTGGAAACAAATATTTATCAAAAACCTGTAAGGAATACATAAAATGATATAAACATGTCCCGGGACGAACAAATAACATCCCATGATGGATTATTGAGACTGACCGCAATTTCCTATTGGAATAAGAAATTACCATATGCGCCGCTATGACAGAGGACACTGGTATACAGAGATGGACTTTTATTTATATATACATTTTAAATGTATCAAACTTTTATCTACATACATATATTATTTTCTATCGATAGGTACTAATGTGTTTTATAGTCTATCTTATATAACATTTTACAGTCCATTTTCTCTTTAAGATTAAACATGTAATGCACTCGCAACTAACAAGACGGGTAAACTTAAATTAAATGTGCTTCCCTGGTACGTTTTGACTATAAGTTTTAAAGTAATTACTAAGGAGATTCTAGGTAAAATGTAAGTAACAAAAATGATATTGGTATCGATATTTTTTGTATGCAGTATAGGATGGTTCATCTCGACAGCGGTCGGCGCTCGGCGTCGTTGCGGCGAGCGTGCAGACCCTTCAGAAACTTTGATAATAACAGTGGGGCTGTAATGTGACAGCCGATACGTCGCCAGCCGCTCTGGACAATTTAAATTTCGAACCTTCATATGACCACTGCTGTTTATTTTTGTTTTAGTTTTTGGTTCATAGTGATAATAATTATTTATAATCTACATAACTATTCGTTTTTAAAATCTACATTACTTGTACCTGTTAAAATGAATGCTAAAGTGAATGTTATTATTTATGTATCTTGCATATAAAATGCAATTGCTATTCTTTCTCAAGCTCATCACAGCTTGGCCGTTTTTAAATTTTGTGCTCAATAAAAATGTATGCACCTACAAATATTATGTAATAACTCTAAGTAAGTATTTTATGAAATGTTCATCGTAATTTCCACATATCATTCAGCTATTAGTGAAGATGCGAAATAGAATATACGAAAAGAAAAACCTCCATGATAAATGATACATTCATGAGGTGTCGTAGGCCAGCCGTGTAAGGATTACACGTGTCATTACGAAGGTAATGCTCCGAGCAGGGGACCTTTAGCCCGTCAACGTGACAGAACTGAATTATTTACCAATGATAGAATGAGAATTCTGTATTGTATGTGGGATTAATAGCTGACAGTTGTTTATTTACCTGTCAAAATTATAGCAGTAAATGAAAGGTCAATATCTGAACCCACGACTGTACTCGCAAGGAAATTATGTCGTACATATTTCCATGAAGGACAAAGTTCAAATATTCCAAAATAGGATTATTTAGTACTTGTATATGTTTTATTGTACTTTATTTTTATGCTACAGACATTATTGTTTTGTACTTCTAATGTATGTAATGTAAAATACTGTATAATATTCCTTTTAATAAAATAGTCGTTAAAATCCAATTTGTAACAATCAAATAGATGTCATTACGTCACAAACAATAGTGATTCGATGCGTTTTGACAAGTCAGATGCTAATCATTCAACCCTTTAGGTCGACAAATCGGAAATTAGGGAGGCATGAGTTCACGTTTGAGGGCCTTGACGACCCGGGGACTCGAACCTTGTCCTTCTTTGAATATTTAACGCAACCAGTGTTGCATGGCCGTGAAGTTATTGAAATATAAGGTTGTGACTATCACAAATAGATAACAACTACATTCACTACCTATTATCATATTAGTTTTCGAATATTTTATTTGGTAATTTAATAGTAAGAAAATTTTATCAAAACTATTACTCTAAAATGACTCACGATTAAAAACTTGCACTAGTGTTCAAAGATTACACCGTAGATCCTATCTCATATTACTAAGGAGCCAGCCTCTCAATAGAAACAGGCAGCTTGTTAGTAATTCGACTAAAGCATATCCAATTCACAACTTAAATCTGTTGTTAAATACTTAAAGGAAGCAAGTAATTTACAGTATTATCTTAAACTCGTTTTCATAAAAAATAAAAATTGAATGACAATCTTTATTTCACACTCATTTTATGTTAATTTAAACTCATTTAGTGAATAATTTCTCAAACGAATCTATTTTAAATATCATATTCTCGCAGTAATATTATATTTAAGCGATGTTTCCTTAGCTGCTGGTTCAAAACATAAACTGGTAAACAAGATATGTCGGGCATAGTAGCTAGTAATAAATAATTAAGCCGGACCCAAAACCACGCATTCCTTCCCAGATGACGACGACATCTTAAAATATGGCCCACCCCTTTCTTCAGCTGTTGACTTCTACCCTCGACACATACTGTTCCCTGTAATTAATAAATGACCCACTACGTCCCTTAAGACCCTACACAACCTACACAAACCTAGACTTTATAATTTAAGATAATTTTCATACATCTTTAATTTACTTTTCGTTAATAAAATTTCACATAAAAAGTTCATGGAAATTTAAAATTAACATTGACTTAACCATGTCTAAACATTCTCACAAAAGATTATAAAAAATCTGTTAATTGATAAAAATAAGTAAGTTTAAATTAAACTTTTAGATCTCATAACCTATGTTTAATTGATAAAAACAAAAAAAATAAAATTTATATCAAAACATGCGACATATGTGTAAACAGCTATACCTGGTAATTATCGCTAATTGTATAGCAGCAATTAAAACGAATAGCTGATACGATCTTAATAGCACGGACGGACCTGCTCCTCAATTAATTACTTAAATTTAATTCATATGAGACCCACGCACCACTATTTACATTCAAAAACACCCTACCCGCATCTCACAACCCTTGCTAAACTTGCCAACCCTAAGATTCTAACTCCTAAGAAGAGTTTCTTTGATAGTTCGCTCCGTTGGCTTCAAATAAAGGCTACGGGGTCGATAGTCTGATCTATAATTTTATAGCTTTGAGGCTAAAGATACGCGAAAGGATTGTGGCGTATCGAATTGGCTCAGTTGCTTTGTTAAAGATAACTAAGATCCTTCTTATCTTGGGACCGAGTCAACTTAAAATTAAATCAAGACATTAGTATCCTGAACCCGCTATGAAAGAATAGTGTGACGTTGTCTGCAGCTTACCGCGATGTATGTATGTAATTATCTTATGTTTTTATCATTGTAAGGAAAATTTAATTTAAAAATACTTGTGATTTTCTAGTTATTGTAACTTCAGTATAAAATTGTTTCCATAAACCAAAAGGGATCGATGATATCAAGAAAGCATAAAGACACTAAGAGGAAGGATTAGCATCCCCTTATCAGGTAAAGCGGTGATACTTATATGAGTGCCCCTTTTATTGCATTATACGGGGAAGGGTTGCCTGCCCTCTGTCTTGAACGTCTAAGGAATACAGGAAGAATTTATAAATAAGTTAAGCGGAGCCCGCCTTATTCTTCGCCTCGGCGTCCCACTTTGTTTTATCATATTTAAATTATTGTAGTCAGATGTGGAACGTGTACCTAATTGCTGTACTTTGTTAAGATAATGTACCTTTGGCGCGGCTCCACTTTTGTTTTCTTGTTTTGGAACGATATAAATTCACAGGAGGAAGCCGCTGGTACGCCCAACTTTCGTGTTCTGTTTTTGTACGGACGCTGCCATGGAAGGAAATAAAATTTGTTTTGCTGCCTTGTTTAATAAAATCTATAATTTAATACCAAACTTCTTGAATATAACACTTATTGCACTCTAACAAAAGACTTTACATAAGCTTAATTTTTTTTGTACACAAACGCCTGTGAAGACTTTAATATGTAGTTAATAATTAAATTTTATACAAATACCAAGAATGTATATGAACATAATGGTTGTGCAAATAAAACATTTCATTCAAGCATGTTCTGTACATGTGCGCACAAATTGAATAATTCAAATTCATCACACACATTAAATTAAAATTTACATTTCCTTTCTATCGCGATTTATTAAGAAAACAATGACTTATTCATAATAACACAATATTTTCTGCTATAAATCAAGTTAAGTGTTATTTCATTTCCTTCTGAGACCGTGCAGCACACGCATCGAACGAATAAGTAATTGAAATTTGAAACGAACTTTTGATTTTAGGAGAATGTTTTCACCCTTGTGAAATTATTATGAATATCCGCTTTACCGGATAGGCTTGTCTTAATAAATGACTTGCCTTTTATGCTCCGGAAAGTATGAGTGAGGTAAAATTTCTTACTACCAACAAGAAATTCGCTAAGAACAAAGATTCTAAATGAAGCCTATTACGGAGGTTTACGTGAAAGTATCTCAATAATTAATGTTATATTTATTATGCAAGATATTTGTTAATACATCTTTAACCTAATTTTTTGTTAATGTATACAACATTTATTTAAAAGTTTATAAAATTCTGACGCTAAGTTCAGTTCGTTAGAACTATTTATTTACGATACCTTTAAAAAAATCATGTAACCAACAATATCATAAATATTTTTCCTTCAAAATTGTTTGAATCATCTTCATTGTCAGTAAAGTCTTATAAAGTTATCGTGACATTTTTTAACGTATAATCTTCTATATATATAAAAATGGATTGCTGTTCCTTAGTCTCGCTAAAACTCGAGAGCGGCTGAACCGATTTGGCTAATTTTAGTCTTGAAATACTCCTGGAAGACCAGGGAAGGTTTAAAAGGTGAGATAAATTGGAATAATTGGAATAAACCCTAAATACAGCCAATTTCTATTTCCCATACAAACGTTTTTTTTTTGACATTAGATTTGACAACTAACTAATATGTCAATCATTCTGTTTGATTGAAACAGGAAAAACCTAATTATTTATGGCCTCTAAGACGGAATAGAGTTCGCCTGGTCAGCTGTACCTACATATTATATTACTGTTGACCAAACTAACGCGGACGAAGTCGCGGGCAAAAACTAGTGTATTGATAAAATTTATCGGAATTCTGTCATTATTCTCGAATGTTTGTATAATCATTTTAATCATTTTAACTATGTAATTCGTCAATAGGGAAATATTTATTAAAACAAAGAAATCGTGCCTAATTAAAATTGATACGGAATAAATTGATTGTTTTATATTTAATTTTAAATATTAACATAATGTAATTTCGCTGTGATATTAAAAAATGTATTAAATTACACTACTACATTTTAAATACCAACAATTTACAATTTTATTTAAAAAAAGAAACAAAATTTCATTTTTATAATAATAATAGATTCCATATAAATGTATAAGGGTGTTGAAAATCTCGTTACCTAAAATAAGTACGAAAAAAACAAAATAAAAAGCAGCATACGAAATTCATCTCCAATCTAGTAACATCACTTAAAACATTTAACTCAAGAAAACTGGGAATTCATTAATTTAAAACTATTGCAATTAGAGCAAACGCAACGGTTGCATTCAAATCACCGGAACATTCGCAATGCGACTATTAAAACGCTGCAAGATGTCGGCAACATCTATAAACAATGGGTAAAACGCGCGCGCGAACTCCCAAAGTTTGAAGCACGCGGTGAGTGCAGAGGACCAGTAATGAGGGTTAGAAATTTCGGCACATTGCGGCCGAAACCGCACCCTGGCTTATTATTAATTCTGTAAGACGTGTCCCCGATGTCCAAGACGTGCCGAGATT